CATACTTCTTCTTTATTTCTAATACTTCTGTTGCCTTTGTCATTTTGTTTACTTGTTTTTATGAGTTTTCTTCAGTTCTACAAGTTTGTTCGCAAGTAAGCAAGTCTAAATTTCTTATCCTTAATAAATTTGCTTTTAGACTATCATTTCTAATTCCATATATAATTCTATCTCGGATGAGGGAATCTGTTAAACCTTCAAACCCACAGTCTTTTGCCTTTATTTTTAATTCTGTTATATATTCGTCCATTGACTGTCCTTCTTTTTGATTGATAGTAAAGAAGATATTTCTTATATAAGTTTCATTTTTATATGAAGTGTAATGGCTTGAAAAAGTGTCTAAAATTACTTTTACAGTAAGGAGATGGTCGATGTTTCTAGGATTGCCCTGTTCGTCTGGTGCGGCTTCAAATACTACTAGCTATTGCCCGCGGCTTTGCTCGCGACTTTGTTCGCATATTGTCGTTTTAATAATATAAAAAAATACATGACTTCCTTTTTTATTAGTTTTATTGATTTTTTTCATTTTTTTATATTTATTCATTTTTTTTTTTATTTTTATTCATTTGTATTCATTTTTATTCATGTTTATTCATTTTTACTAATTTTTATTAATTTTTATTAATTTTTATTAATTTTTATTAATTTTTATTAATTTTTATTAATTTTTATTAATTTTTATTAATTTTTATTAATTTTTATTAATTTTTATTAACTTATTAATTTTAATTAATTTTTATTAACTTTTATTAATTTTTAATTATTTTTATTAATTTTTATTAATTTTTATTAATTTTTATTAATTTTTATTAATTTTTATTAATTTTTATTAATTTTTATTAATTTTTATTAATTTTTATTAATTTTTAATTATTTTTAATTATTTTTAATGATTTATAATAATTTTTATTAAATTTTATCAATTTTTATTAATTTTTATTAATTTTTTTTATTTTTTATTAATTTTTATTAATTTTTATTAATTTTTATTAATTTTTATTAATTCTTATTAATTTTTATTAATTTTTTTTATTTTTTATTAATTTTTATTAATTTTTATTAATTTTTATTAATTTTTATTAATTTTTATTAATTTTTATTAATTTTTATTAATTTTTATTAATTTTTATTAATTTTTATTAATTTTTATTAATTTTTATTAATTTTTATTAATTTTTATTAATTTTTATTAATTTTTATTAATTTTTATTAATTTTTATTAATTTTTATTAATTTTTCTTAATTTTTATTAATTTTTATTAATTTTTATTAATTTTTAATAATTTTTATTAATTTTTATTAATTTTTATTAATTTTTAATAATTTTTATTAATTTTTATTAATTTTTTATTAATTTTTATTAATTTTCACCCCCGTTTTCCCCCCCTTAAACTGTGAAAATCCAAAAACCATGAAACACCTCATTATTTATTTATGATGTGAACCTACAATTCTAATTTTCAAGTTTCTACCTTTAATTTCATGTTTCTAACTTCAAAGAGAACAAAAAAAGTTATACTCGCATACAAACTTTTACCCCCGTTTGCCCCCCTCAAGATGTAAAAATATAAAAACCCAAAAACACATTATTATTAATTTGTAATCAGTAGCTGCAATTCCAATTTTCATGTTTCTAATTTCAAAGAGAACAAAAAAAGTTATACTCGCATACAAACTTTTGCCCCCGTTTGCCCCCCTCAATATGTAAAAATATAAAAACCCAAAAACACATTATTATTAATTTGTAATCAGTAGCTGCAATTCCAATTTTCATGTTTTTAACTTTAAAAAGAACCAAAAACATAGATACTCCCTTACAAACTTTCACCCCCCGTTTCCCCCCTTAATATGTAAAAAATCCAAAAACCCTGAAACACGTCATTATTTATTTATGCTCAGTAGCTGTAATTTAAATTTTTATGTTTCTAACTTTAAAGAACAAAGAGTTTCATTGAAAGCTCCCTACCCCCTTTTCCTCCCATTTCCCCCCTTTAAAGTTAAAATTTCCAAAAATCCTTTCATAGCGGATGCTTACGTTATAAAATAAACCTATGTTTCAAATTTCAGCTTTCTAGGCTCAGTAGTTTTGGCTGTACGCTGATAGGTCAGTCAGTCAGTCAGTCAGGACAAACAATTTTATATATTATATTGCATGGCTTCACCAAGTGTATGCAGTAACAACGCCCTTTGGGTTTTTAATGGTTTTCCTTCTAGGTCTGCCGCGGTCTAATAAATGTCTATTAATTGGGGTTTTAGGGGTATTGTCTTGTTTACGCTGCCACCATGTAATATGTAAAATAAACTTTATTTTATAATGTGTGTTTTTGACATAACCTTAAAACTTGAAACCTAAGATAGCATTCTTTTCTTTTTATAATGTCCTTGACAGTCTTTACATTGTTGCCAACCTCGATGGTTATGCCTAGTTCACATTACGTTACAGTAATCAAAACTCAAATAGTATATTACATTACGAGTGTGGAAAGTGACATTTTTCACACGAGTGGGAAATATTGTCGCACGAGGCACAAGCCGAGTGCGACTATTACACGAGTGTGGAAAATCACTTTTCACATAAGTGATGTACAATATTTTTCCTACGACCACAAAATAATGTCATCAAAAAATGTAAAACCAGGTTATTATTACTATAATAATTAAAATGTATTTAATAATCAACAATAATCGTATTTATTCAATTTTAATATTTTCTAAACAAAAAAAAAAAACTAAAAAAAAATAAAAGATTTGAACGCGGTCGCTCGCCAGGTCTCAAATGGCAAAGTTGATAAGTTCGACGTTCTAACCAACTGAGCTAATAGCCCTTACGTCAATTGAATGATCTAATCAGTTATGTATTTAACCAGAATAAAGAGCAAACATATTTTAGTTATTTTAAAATTATTTTAATAATAATTGTTAAAGATAAATATCTAGGATCTAATTTACAACAATTTCAATAATTTAACAATCATATCGATTTTAGTATTAATATGGACATTACATAGATCAAAATAGAAATTATTTGTTTGACATTTTGTGACAGCTACTGCGGAAAGTAGCATATTCGTACACGGGTGGAAAGGAAATTCTTATTCATACGCATGTGATATAAGGCACTTTCCATAAGACTATATAGTGTGATATGTGTCACTTTCCTAAGTGGTAGTAGGAAAAATAATTATTTAAAAAAAATTACAGATTGAGTGTATTATGCATGTCAAAATAATGTAAAAAATCTAATATTTTATATTCTTATCTGATTTGCATTTGTTTTTGTTATAACACAATACAGTGGCGCCGTGAAATATTGTAAAAGCTTCATAATTAATTGAAGCAACACATTTAGCCTAACTAAACAAAAACCGAGGATCTGTAACTCTACAAGAAAACTTACATGTATTGCCGAATTGTGACATTATTTTGGTAATTCCAAGTAAAGCTTGTTAATTCAAAGTAATGTCAGAGTAAATACTGCTAAGTAATTCCCTAGTTAATTTCGTTTAATTTTGTTTAATATTAATTTATATAAGACCTTAGGTAATAACATTTTCGAAGAAAACTATTTTAGGATTATTCACAATAAATTATTTTTTCTTCTTTAACCTTTTAATTTATCGACATACCGAAAAATATTACGAACTTTTTTTTTGTTGGATTTGTACCAAAAAAATTATCTATTCAAATTGGTAACACAAGTTTTTGTTTATGAGAAACCACCATAACGTCAATTCATTTAAATACAGACAGAATTTTTATTCTAATTTTTTTGTACTTCTGCACAGGACTTTTTGTTCAGAATTTACAGAAAACACAAACAATGTTAGTCTATTAACATGTCTGGAACAGCTCAAGCAAAACGAAAAACACGAACAAACCTGTATCTTCTTAAACCTTCCTTCAGATGTCGAAAAAGATGAAAATCACTCGGCGCCAAGGTTGTACCACAGTTTATTGCTAAAGAATCAGTTAGCTCACTTGGACCAGTTGAATGTTCCAAAATAACATCCACTCCTGGGATACAAATTCAGGATGCGCAGAAGACAGCTGTTTAAATATAGGCGGTTATCATGTATTGTATTGGTTATGATTTAATTCTGTATGCGCCAGGGACACATCTGAGTTGCGCAGTGTATAAACTGGAACATTGAGATCAAAAGTGCCGACGCAGAGTGAGCGAACTGATTCTTTAGCTATAAACTGTGGTTGTACTGTAAATCAACAGATTGAACATTTTCCATTGAAATGGCTGAAGACGCTGTTGGGTATAATATAATAATTATAATAAGCCTATAAAAAACCTAAAATATATGAGTTTTTAGATTATTTTCACCTCCCAACTCACCCTGTTAAATTTTCTCTCTCAAGCAAAAATGTTTAGATCAAAAGAATTCTGTGAATGAAGACTAAATAGTGATCATTTATAAAATCCTATTATTAAGGCTGTGTTTCCCGACAAATGGCGGCAAAATAAGACATGTAAAAAAACACTCTCCTTTCGTGCAAGTTAATTTAAAAAATGTGTACTTTATCCAAGTTTTCAAAATATTTTATGATTCTGTATGGTATTAACTTTATATTGCTAAAAAGATTTGCGTAACAAGTTAAATAAAAATTTTATTCACACATACGTACGGGCATGCAGATCCGGTAATGTATTTAATATATCAATGAATTCTTCTAAATTTTTGTATACTACACTCTATCATTGTTGTAAATAAACACGTAATAAACTCGTAGACCTGCACGGAAGTTAATCTTGCAAATATTGGAAAATATCCATTTTGTCACTAGATTTTAGTTCAGTACAGTTGTCGCGAGGTAAAATAAAAAAATGGTCTGCTATTCATATATTATCCAGTTAAATTCTTTCTGTAATTTATAATACATTAAATGATATCTCGTCGTGATAGCGCAGCCTTAACTACACATAGGATACTTTTCTGAGACGTGATCAAATATTTTTTCATTTTTTTTTTAGAAAATACTATTTTTTTCAGGTCTAAACAGCTATAATTCATACAACAACATGCCATACCGCAGCTCTATGTATAATTCCTACGGATCATCGTATGGAGGAGGCTACGGGAGCGGCTACAATAGCTACAACTCTTATGGAAACTACCAACCGCTGACCATGGACGACCACGAAAGGCGTTTCATCCAATACGCTGAAGAAAGTTCCAGAAATACTTTTGCCAGTGTCGAAGGCATCGTTAGGGCATTTAACAGCATCGCAATGATGTTAGACAATACATTTTTTGCTATGACGAGCAGTTTCAGGGCCGTACTTAGCGTCGCCGAGAATTTCGGTCGGCTCCGAACTATGTTCGGTCAAATTTGGTATTCAGTGAACATCTTTAGGTTTTTTACTTGGTTATATAGGAAATTTTTGAGGCTATTGGGACACAAGGTTCCCAGTAGTAATGTTTCGACGGCTTGGTCTCAAGCGAAGAGTGGTGTTGGTGGTGCACCAGCAGTACCTGGATCACCTGGAAGCGCCGGATCCAGCTGGCCAACTATCGCGTTTTTAGGAGTACTAGTTTCGGCTCCATATATCATTAGCAAATTCTTGCCTAAATATGAAGGTAAGTGTTTAAAAATTTAGATAATAATTTAAGGTGGTCAAGTTTATTCAGAAATTAACTTCAAACCTGCTCTCAAAGGATTATATTATCTTTAAGACTGCATGAATATTTTAATTGTAGGGTTGAAATGATTTGTGTTTATTATGAGAAACCATTTCTTAATCCCATATTTATTTTAACTCAAAATATAAATGTTTTTCTAATGATAATACAATCAACTTAGCCAAATCATGTTTATATTTAGTGTAATTTCCAACTTGGCGCTGAAGATTTCACATCCGAGATTCTCGATATTACTATTTTTACCTGCTGGTAGCATACTATACTTTTTCTACGACTACTTTCTAACACGTTTAAAGTATAATGTAAACAATAATTACAAATATGAAGAAATAAGTATAAGGCTTATTTTATTTATTGCTATACAATCGAAAATGATGGTTCATTTGTAGCATTCTTTGTTTCATTTACGATTTTTTTGGTTATATCAAGTTTATTTCTTATTGATGCAACCATATATCCTACAGCAACTGCTGTGAATTTCCAGCCACTGTGACGTTTTAATGTGGTTATGTCCCCACCAGTATCAACTAAAATTTTGTTGAGAAAGATCGACGAAATCAATGCCCATTATAGAATTCAGGATTCAGCAATTTTATATGATTAGCAACATCTTTTCCCATTGCTCAAATTTTATTTAGAACTATTCCTTGTACCGTACGTATGCCTTTTTTGATAATAAATAAAAACTAGGGATTATTAACATTTAGAGGAGGATAATAATATACTAATGATAGTTTACAGTAAAATTTCGTACAATTTGGTTTTTGTGTCTGGCATTGTTACCAAAATAGTAGTATCCATATCAGTGAAATTTATAACTTTCATTTGATGTAATTCATGCCATCTGCATTCACATATTACAGGCATAATTACTGCAACCTACAATGTAAATTTAGAAATTACTCATTTTATTTATTTTATTAAATATAACTTACTTTTGCTGCTAAATACATTTCATCGGGAACCTTTCTTTCTCTTTCGATGTCATATCGTGGGCGTTCTGGCAAATATCAAATTAGTAGTTTTGAGAAAAACGGGTTTTAAGTTTATATTCATTACCTAACTAAATTTCATTTTAGAGAAAATTTTATTTTTAAGCCAAAATAAAATTTGATTATGGCACTACACTATAAGTAGTAGATGCCAGTAAAAAAATAAAAGTGGATTTCCTATCAAAATCGATATTTGATGAACTTTGGAAATTTGAAAATAAACAGGAATTTAACGAAAAAGTGTTTTATTCAAACTTAGGATTTAAATGATATTTTAAACAGATATACCTAATAAGTTTCAACTAATTAATAGAAAAGTTAATCTTTTTCGCTATCGCGTTCACTTTCAATGCTGGGCTGACATTTCGATTCTGACAAGATGTTGATGTTGGTAAGGATAGATACCAGTGATGGAATTCTGAAGGGATGATTTCAGTAGTGCATAACTTCTTGAGGTCGTTGTATTTCTGTACAGAAATGGGTAACATTTTTGTGCCTTATTTAACATAACTGATGCTGTTGAAGGCCTATCTCTTCCACTAATATTCATAGATAGATAATCCGCTTTATGACTATACTTATATTTAATTATTCCTGGACTATCCTTTTCTGTTCTAAAACATTTTACTTAAAGCCACTTTTTCGCCTTGATTGTTGACTGATCTGTTTTTTAAAATCGTTTGCAAAAGGATCCTAAAATCAAAAAAGTCATTAGACTTTAATTAATTTACCATGTAATGGTCATTTTTATTCTTTCCTCTTTTGGATTGCGCCATTTTAAAAATATTTATCCATTCATCTAGTGTATAAACCGCCACATTCCTCTTTTGCTTTTCAATAGCACTAAATATGCATGCTATGGCATTCCATCATGGAAAGACCCGATTCCAAATTTTTTTATTTAATAACAGTTACTGGGCTATTTCTGTTGTGAAAAAAATAGTTCAACATTGCAAGAACATTCTGATTCCTATTTTGACGACCACGTGTATCAGAAAACAATGACACCTCTGTAATGTGACTGGGTAGGCTATTAGGGTGTAGGTATGTTATGTTGGGAATGGGGTGTTAATACACTGCGACCTAAAATATCTATTGTACCCCTTTCTGTCGCCAATACACCAAGGAAATGTTTCAATGCCTATAACGACCCTTCCAATCCTATTTTCTCAAGGAAGTGTATGATTTGAAGTGGCTTCAAGTTAGGTAAATCTCCCTCTTCTATTTGATATCCTCCTAGATATAATGCCCTTGGATTCTGGAGTGCTACACATTCAGTTAGGATGTGAATAGAGGTTTCGTCCTCCTCCTCACAGAATCTGCACTCACTATCCTCTACTACTCTCAGTTTACTTAGGTGTCCTTTTAGTCGGCAATGCCCGGTAAGGATCCCTGTTACAATACGTAGCCTGTTCTTGCTCAGGCAGATGCAGGCTTCCGATCTTTTCTGGTTATATTCACCCAGAAGTATCTTGGCCTATCTCAGCCCCGAGATTGTTATAATTATCGTTTCTTCTACTGCCCAATTATTTTTTAATCTCTCTGCTGATACCGCAGAACGGCAGGTCCTACAAAGGGTGTTTGAGCCCCTTTCCTTGCAAGACTATCTGCAATCTCGTTACCCTGTACCCCGTTATGTCCCGGGACCCAAGTGAGAGTAACTCTATTTTTCTCGCCTAGCTCATTCAATTGTTCTAGGCATCTCCAGACCATTTTTGAGCTAATTGCGTAAGAGCTCAACGCTTTGATGGCTGCTTGACTATCGGACATGATGATTATCTCTTGTCTATGATAGTTTCTCTCGATGTTAAACTGGATACACTTCTCGATGGCGTGAATTTCCGCCTGGAAGATGTTTAGGTCTTTTTCTAAGCTTTCGGAGTGCTTGGTTCTCGGCCCATACACTCCTATTCCAGTTCCTTCTATGGTTTTGGAACCGTCCGTATACCACTGAATAGCACGTCTTTCGGTTGCAAGCGCGATGGATTCTTCGCTCCATTCTTTCTTGCAGCCCAGCTCTGTGGTTTTGAAGTTTTTCACAAAACTGTACTTCTTTAGCATTTCATCCTGGGGCATGTCCCAGGTATCTTTAGTCCTGAAGCAAGTAGACTATTTTGGGTGCCAGGTCACCAAGGGATCGAAGGCAACGAAAAGGCTGACGAACTTGCAAAAAGAGGGTCAGAAGAAACACCGGAACCAGACACAAACCCAGAAGTACCAAAAAGTACAGTCCTGGGTTTCATAAACGACTGGATTCGGGAACAACATATCAACTATTGGGGAAGCACCCAAAAACAGGCACATGGAAAAGCCTTCATAGACAGACCATGTCCCAAAATAACTGGAGAACTACTCTTTATGAATAGGAACCAGTTGAAAGTGATAACAGGGTTCCTGACTGGGAACGCCCCAGTAAAGGTATTTGTAGAACTGTTTGAAGATCAAACGTCGCAGTAACAAAATTGGGTTGCTCACACGCTCTTTCCTTATCAGCTTTTTTGGATTCACTTGCATCGGATTCTCGATTTTTATGCTCATCATAGGTTGGCTTCAGAGCAGTTTTTTGTTCGACTGTTGCTGATTGGTACCTCATGCAAAGGGAACACTGATCTTTGGGAGGTTTAAAAAAATAATTGTTTTTACAAACTCTTTTGTAAGTTGTTAAACATTTAGGAACATTTCACACATGTCCTTATATAAGGCGTACATTTTGTTTGTAATAAAATTACGAAGCAAGATACAATTATGAGAAATGCAATATCTGCTGAAGCCAGATTGGTTGCAACACTAAGATATTTAGCAGCAGGATGTTCTTATATTGTTTATTTTCTTTTTCATCACTTCTTGTGATGCTTCTGGGAAAAATTCCTTAAATTTTTTAAACAAAATTTCATAACTGGAATTTCTTTTCATTTTTTTTGCATAATCTTTTGATTTCACATCCCATAGGCATCTATTTTCTCTGTATAAATCAATAAAGTCTTCCCGGAACGTCTTATTTTTTAAATCCATAATATTGATTTAACCAAAAATAAATAAAAATTATATCGTAACTGCGCGCTGCGGCAGGAATACACTTCACACGTTCAGACTTGCGGTCAAACCCCACCCCACACACGACCCGTTGATACGATATTTTACGGAAGCTCCCTACTGCAAACGATTTGACGACTACATACTGCAAACCATCCAATTTCCCTACACACGCTACGATTTATCGTTAATGCGGCAGTTTCGATGGATATTGTACTGCATGCAGTACGATAAATCGTTACGTTTGTAGGCCGTTTTAATGCTTTTTTCGTGTATATACAACCAGTTATACGTAGTTCTGTGGACTTAAGGAAGTTTGCCAGTTAAAAATTACCCTTTTATTGGTTGAATGAGAATGATAACAAAAAAATCGCAAAATTGGACTTAGTGGCTTTTTCCAGAACGCCCACGATGTCAAAAATCTTGATCCTGATTTTTTGAAAATATTTGCTAATATCACACATTATTATTAATGCTAAGAGTCGTTCTTAACATTGAATATTGCGTCCACAAAGCAGAATTTTTCACCAAAATAAGCAACTTTAACGTTTTCCTAAAAACGAGTTAGTTTTATAATCTTTTTTCCAATCCAACGTTTCTTGATGTAATTTGTTTTACGTTACAGGTAATAAATTTATTGTTGTTACCTTTTATATACAATTGGCTTATATTTTTTTCTTGGGTATTACCAATTAGCAGGAGAACCTGCGATTGCTTTATAAAGAGCGAGCAGGCCTTAAATCTCACTCTATTTGCGTGTCGGAATCGGTCAGAGATAGGAGGAGATGTAGCTATTCATTGATAAAATATAATATTCAGAAATAAATTCGACAGTCCATACGCTCCACTTGTAGGTCCGCAGAGAGGAGACGTGAGGTGAGAGGTAAGAGAGAGGATAAAGCGAAGGATTTT